ACCTGGGGTCTGTCCCAGGAAATGCAGTTCACAGGCAGGAGAAACCTCGACTGAGGTGTCAGTCCTTCAGGATGGACACACACACAAGCCAGAATCATCTGCACATGGTGCCAATTAATCTGGAAAAACATTTTACTTATTTATTCCAATACTAAGCAACATGCATTTTTGAAAAATCAGGGTAAGGCAGTCCCTGGGGTTAAGGGCCTTGCTCAAGGGCCCAACAGAAATCACTGAGCTGACTGGGGATTCGAACCTGTGACTATCCGATCACGGGCGAGGCGTCCTTACCTGCTGAGCCACACGCTGCCCCCAACACAGTACTCTGTGTGCCGTGATGCAGAGCCGCGTAAAGCCAGCAGAGAAGAATTTCCCTCCAAGTTCCCTCCATGTAAACATCCCCATCTGACATCCTTCTCCGCACGCTCTTTCGTTCCTCCTTCATCATGCATACAGCACATAGTCCCATGCATGACTGCCTGTGCATATTTCACCACCGGTGAGTTTGCTCAGAGACATTTCGCCAACCATCCCCAAGGTGTGCTATGCTCTTAGTGGGAAGCGGAGTAACAGGAAAGGTTTAACTTCTGCGCGTATACTGCCAAACCTGTCCTGTAGGTGGTCTGCAAGACGGCATCACATCGCGGGGGTCTTCTTCAATTTTCATCCATCAAGGTTCAGTCAGAATACCAGCCAGTCCTCTTCTGTCTTCTGCTTCGTTCTCTGAAAAATGCAACATTAAGGTTTTTTTTTTTCCTCTCACATAAAATGAATGTTTTGATGGAGGCTTGATGGACGCTAGATCGCTGATCCTGTTAGTGAACAGCAAACGCCAACACTGAGCCCCCGGAGGGCCAGACCTAAGAGGATTCTGGGTCACATGAGCCCGATGTGGGTATCGAGTTTGTCATTTGCTGTTTTATAGATGAAGCAGTGCTTCTGTCCGGCATTAGCTCTGCCTGCACCTACCTGTCTTGACGTCTTCCACGACCAAGTAAATGTCCAGTAGTCTCTGTCCCGTAGTCCTTTCTCGATCCCCCACCTTCTGCCGTGCCGAGGATGCCTGTTTCCTTCCATTCCTCCCTGATGATTACTGTTGGAGTAATAACCAACCCACGGTGGTGGAGCGGTCCCCAGAGGCTCGGCGCGGTCTCCCCACTAGGCAGGCTCCATCACCCTTCTGCTACATGTCTTTGGACCAGGAGAGGGAGCTGGAGGCCAGCAAGAAGGAGAAGTTCAAGGAGATGAAGCTGGAGGCTGAGGTCAAGCTGTTCAAGAAGGAGAACGAGGCCCTCCGCAGGCACATCGCGGTATTGCAGGCAGAGGTCTACGGTGCACGGCTGGCGGCCAAGTACTTAGACAAGGAACTGGCGGGCAGGTAGGACACCTGAGAGAGCCCTGATACCTGTGAAGCATAAGCGACCCGTTATCAGGAACCCTCTTATGGAACCTTGGGTGTTTCTGAAGCCTGTGTTAAACTACAACTCAAATCTTGGCTTAAGATTAGTCCCTGTGCACAAAACAATTGATTGTTAGTGCTGATCAAAAAGTTCAGATAAAGAAAGGTGTAAGGGAGAGGAGCTACTAAGTGTGTTTGTCTTTGTTGTATTTGTTGTACATCCTGACCAACTAATGGCACTTCTTCAACTTTCTTAGGGTTCAGCAGATCCAACTGTTAGGTAGGGATATGAAGGGACCTGCTCACGACAAACTGTGGAACCAGCTAGAGGCCGAGATCCATCTCCACCGCCATAAAACAGTCATCCGAGCCTGCAGGGGGCGCAATGATCCCAAGAAGTCCTTACCATCGCCATCAGGCCACGTAAGTAGAAGACCCCTGGTCATCACAGTTAGTTGTGCCGCTGATTTATAAAAGTACGCTGCCCGATATTATCCCCGTTCATACAGGACTCGGACACATTAAAGAAGACCCAAGGCGTGGGACCAATACGAAAAGTCGTGCTCTCCAAAGAAGATCATGAAGGATTAGGCATCTCGATCACAGTGAGTTTCATGCACAGTCCAGTATTCCTACAATTTTAGGGGACGCTGCCCCCGCCTTCCTAAATGTCTGCACTTTTCAGGGAGGTAAGGAGCATGGGGTGCCCATCCTGATCTCGGAGATCCATCCCGCTCAGCCGGCTGAGCGTTGCGGAGGGCTCCACGTGGGAGACGCCATCCTGGCCGTCAACAGCATCAACCTGCGGGACGCCAAACACAAGGAGGCCGTGAACATCCTGTCCCAGCAGGTGGGTAGGCCAGATTGGGGTCGCACACCAACGAGTGTGAATTAGCGTGATTTTATAGCACCTGCTGTCAGGTCACCTAATGGCAGATGAGGTGAACTGGAAAATTTGCATTCAGATCTCTGTGGTTAAGTAGAGATGATTCATGGCTGAAAATTGAGGAACGTGGGAGAGCTCTGGCACTAAAGGAACAACAGATTGAAGATGTCCAGTTCCCTGCTGAGGGTCAGAAAAGATGACATGTACCAGATGAAAACAGACATTTTCTCTCTGGCATATATTGGTCAATCTAACCTGTTGAAACTATGAATAGCGAAGTCAGTAGGGAGTCAGCTGGCAAACATTTAGCACGCTAATGTTACGCGAGTCATAATGTTACGTTACGCTAATGTTACGTGAGTCGGGGTAGAACTCGATAGCTAACGGAAATTAGCAAAGGGTCGATCTCACGCAGCTTTCTTTTTGCCGGCAGAGGGGCGAGATAGAGTTCGAGGTGGTCTACGTGGCTCCTGAAGTCGACTCGGACGACGAAAACGTGGAGTATGAGGATGACAGCGGGCACCGCTACCGTCTGTATCTGGACGAGCTAGAAGAAGGCAGCCGGAACAACGCGTCAGGGGATTCCGCCTCACTGCAGGGTAAGTGGACGGGACTCACCGATGGTCAGTTCCACTCCAGAACATGGCAGAAGGGCTCAAGAGCAACGACACTGAATAAGACACGTACATTCATAAACCTGAAGTCTGACTTTGACACCAAAAAAGCACAGTGTTACTCTAATACGGTTCGCTAGCATAAACGCCTCATGAAGCTTGTTTGCCTCTCGATTGTAGAGATACATCACTTCCCGAGATCCATCAATTCATTGTTGTCCTCTGAGGACATTGTCTTTGTCACACTATACATGCCGCTGCGTCAAGTCCTGTTATTCCTTAAAGAGGAGAGTTAGGGCTTTACGATGACATCACATGTGTGGTGGTCTGAACTAAACACTTCCTCTTCCTGTCAAATCACAATTTCAATCAATATAATTTTCCTCTGGATTGTTGGCCGATATACGAGCTTATTAGCAGGCTAGCTAACCCAACAAAAAGCATCCCACACGAGGTACATAGCCAGGAAGTAAAATTACAGCTTTGAGCCCCCCTTGAAATTAATTTCTGGCTAGGGGCTTGTTACACAGGGAAGCAGCGTGTAAAATCTATACTTAAAGTACGAGGAGACGACAGGATCGTCATCGTCCGTAAAATAAGTGTTAGCTGTGTCTGATATTGAGGATTTTTCTTTCTATCCTTACTCAGCCCAGGAGAAGAGCACAACAGGCGACGCGATGAACGGGGACACGGGAGCTTCCAGCGAGACCCCATCGGACGAGGCCCCCACTCGGGCTACAGAGAGCTCCTCATAAGAGGGGGGGGGGATGGGGAGAACGGCGACACGCCTAGCAGGAGGGACAGACTTTGGGTGTAGAGGCACGGGAAGGTGACAGAGACGCTCTATGTGTGTGACTGATGAGTTTTTGTATGTCGTCAGGACGGACCACGTTGGAATCTGCTGGTGGGGGTGTGTCGGGGGGGGGCAGACCAGCTTTTCACGGCTCTCTGGTTACCAGGGAAACACCACAGGCACTATTTCATGCACATATTTTTACAGCTACTATCCATTTTAGGCCAGAATGGTGGCTAGTCTGACGGTGGAGGTGTACCCTCCGACCAGAGTGATACGATTTACTGCTTTGTAGCAATCGTGCGTGTGGAGTTACAGAAATCTAGTGCCGTCAGTCAGTCCCAGTAGAAAATAAAATCCTTGACAAATGTACATACCTGTAACTTACCGCTTGCACATTATACTGTATTATAATTATTATTACTATCTCTGCTTGGATTTAATTCTCCTCAAACTCACGATCGGGATGGCGGCCAGCCTTGTAGAACTGTATGATCCTCAGTTCAGCAACCAGTTGTTACATACATACAATAAAAATAAGCATGTTCACTCTGCAGAATTAAGGGATGTGACAGGTGGGATGTGCAGCTAAACGTCAAACACATTTTATAACGTCACTTGTTCTGAATGCCCTGGTCCTGAAATTCAGCCCCGCTGGGCTTTGGGCCTCTTGTCCGGATTCTGCCATCATACAGTGCGGGACGAGTCGGACCCTGTATTTGCTGGACAGTGCCGGTGGCAGGCGGGTAGGCCTGGTGGGCTAGGGACCCCACCCCCTGTTCAGCATGGAGAATTTGAAGTGATAAGAATTTATCAGTTTCAGCAATGATGTTTTGAAGATGGGAGGATACTAACACTTCAGAAAAAGACTTAGGAGTAGAAAGAAGAATGTTACATAAATTTTGTCTAAGGTTAAATCAAGAGATGTGCAATGATTTTCCCGCAGTGGAATGTGAGCAAGGCCCCCAGTGATGTCACCCCCTCCACAAGGAGAGTTTTCCTTTTTGGTCACTGCTCTATCTTGCACCCCTCGCGGTGCATCCTGTGGCTGTTCTATTTTTTTCCCCCTCTCCCCCCTATCCTCTGCTGGATGGGCATCAGAGCAAATCAAGGCGGTTTTTTTTAAAAGTAACCGAAAGGGCAGTTGCTCGCTGCGGTCCCAGACTCAGGACCTGTCACTGTCTGTCAATGATAATCCCACCGTACTGGCTGGGCAGCGTGTCGACGCCGCCATTCACCATTCGGAGGGTGACAGGACGTATGTCATGAAGGTCATTTTTCATTTCAGCTTTAATTTTAACTCTGAACCAAAATGTCAAACACCTACTTGTAAACAGAACTACAATGGAAAAAGCAATAAGTCAGTACTTACGCACTGGCAAATCATGTAAAGGTTAAAAAAAAACCTATATACACAGATGTATGTGTCATTCTAAATATCAGTACAGTTTTGTGGTTCTTTTACTGACTTTGGGATGAAAACTTACCTACACTGTTTGTCAGTATGTTTGTTTTAAGAAGTGGATCTTACACTGGACAGCAAAGATGGACTTGACAATCTTCAGTCGTGTTCACTGTGGTTCTATATTGACCTGGAGCATCAGCTGAATTTAACATGAGATTTTGGTCGCATTTTAAAAGACTGCAACCGGTCAACATGGCTGCTGGCTTCTCTCACATGAATCGACGCATCTTTTGGCGCAGAGCGAGCGGCTGGCTGACCTCACCCTAATGCATGCATTCCAGAACGTCAATTCCCATCACTGTTACATCGAAGAGGACTTTCCCCGGAAAACAGTTTTTAACCACCCTTCCTCTGAAAAATTGTGGCTATTTTACACATTTTGTTGTCATGAAAAGTGTGTTTCCTGAACGTTGAAAGATCTGGTGTAAATGTATTATTATATACAATTGTAGTAAAATGTATAACAAGTAACATTTTGAGTAAATTATCTGAAAAATGGTGTCGACTGTTTCTGGTTTTGTAAACTGTGGCTGATGAACAAGCTGATTAACTGGCACATAACATAAAATCATGAACCAATTTAGCTCTTATTTGAGGAACCTCCAATCATGTCCATCCTTTTGTGTATTACACACATACATATATATACACACGCATACTAATTTATATATACGTAAATCTACAAAAGGACATGATTTCAGCTTACATAAAGCTTTATCTAAAGGTAAATCAAGAGACGTGCAATGATTTTCCCGCAGTCGTATCTGATCAAGGCCCCCAGGGGGCGCTGAGTGGCCTAAGCCTCTGTGACTGCGATCAGGAAGTTACCAGTTCAAGCCTGGCCTTGGCACATCGGAAGGTCCTCAAAGGTAGGCCGTTAACCCCTGGTTCCCTGCCCTCTGCTGTCGGTGCCTGCTCTTCACGGTCAGCTAGGTCTCACCTATAGAGAGCAAGCTGGGGGAGGCATCAAGAGAATTTCCCCACAAGGATCATGAAGAATCCCTTATTAAACATGAAAGGTAGAGTGCAATATCTGCACTGTGCTGAAGATCCACATGGAAGATATCTGCATGTGAAGGTGCAGCAGGCGGCCTGCTCATTATTTAAAGGGCTGGCAGCAGCCCTGTGCTTTCAGCAGTTTAGGGGACAGTCCCAGCAGAGTGGACCCTTGCAACAGTGTGCAAATATCTGTGCACTGAGGAACACGCACGCTGTTTGTCAGTCTCTGGCAACCCGCAGTATTGGAAGGTTATGCTCCTAATAGACACCTCCAGTCTATCTATACACACAAGTCCCCAGTTTGGCTCCCTTCATGATCTCAAAGAGAGGCCTGCTTTTAAGACTTTGGTTATTATACATATTTTTTTTAAGTTTTACGGAAGTTTTTACTTTTTGCTGGTTCATTTGAGCACGTTTTAGAGCATAGTCGAGTGCAACACTAAATTCAATCACGGGAAATGTACGATCACCAGGGGGCAGTAGAAACCTCATTTTGAGGAAGTAAAAAATTAATCATGCATCTAGTGCAGCTTTCTCAACCCAGTCCTGGGGACCCCTAGACGGTCCATGTTTTTGCTCCCTCCCAGACAGCTTACATTTTTGGGAGCTGGGAGAGAGCAAAAACATGGACCGTCTAAGGGTCCCTGAGGACTGGTTTGAGAAACACTGACAGTGGATTCTGAAAAAAATCAACGGAACAATAAAACTCATACATTTGATGAGTTACATTTTCAAGCAGTGGATGAATAGCTCAGGAAAGTGTGGAAAACGTGCAATCTGCCCGAAGAGACACCCCTCAGTCCATGAACGATAACGGCTAACTGCTTGAACACCATGGAGCTGTGCTTTCATACGAGCATGTAAAGGGGGGGGGGGGGGGGGGACAGAGCGATGCTGAGGAAGGAGAGTGATGCAGCCTACCTTCAAAGGAGACGGCACACACTGCGCCTCACACTGTCCCCATGGCAGGTCAACTTCGAGGGGGTAGCCATGGTCACCATTGACACCCCCCCCCCACCACCCTAACTCCGACAGGGTGGGAGGGCAGGCTGGGGGGGACAGCGGGTGGGTCACACGTTGTCAGCTGCCTTGCAACTGACACGGACCTGCCACATTCCGGGGGAGGCAGGGGTTTGGGGGCGGGGGGGTTGGTCATGTGACTTCCTACCTCACTGCAAGTGGGGCTGGAATGCAGACACCCCCCATGCACATGGCAGGGCCCCCAACACACCCACCCACAGGCACGGCAACACGCATGCAGAGGCGACGCGTTTCAGCTGCTGGCAGCTTTATTCGAGTCCTGAGCAGCTCACACACATTCATGTAAACTAAGACACTGGGAATGAGGGGAACAGGAAAGAGCAAGCAGGTCTACCTGCAATGTGACCCCCCCCCCCCAACCCCCTTACACATTTCACAGAAATCAAAGCTCTCCTACCCACCAATCTCTCCACATAGAGCAGTAACAAGCAGCAACTGCACAAAGGTGCAAGTGACACAGCACGTGACAATGACGTCTTTTCAATTCACAATATACAGCCGATGACGATCTGCACAAATATGTAAATATACAGTCAGCGAAGGAGTCGTCCTTTACCTGGGACCAGTCCGAAAACGCAATAAAAAAAAAAGATAAATAAATGATTCATTTTTAAAATTTGAGCACAATTAAAATAACCATCCAAATTAGAAATTATTTTCACTCTTTAAACCGAACGGTTTTAAAAAAAACAAAAAAAACCCCACATTCACGTGGTCCAGTTAACATCCTAAAACATCCCATAATATCCATGTGCAGGACCTCTGATTGGCTAAGCCTGCATGCCATCCTCTTCCCCGAGGCACCTGCGTTGCTGGTGACAAAACGCTCATTGTGGCCACCCCCCCCCCCGCCCTTTTCCTGGGAATTCCCTTGTGCTGGGTCACATGGTCTCCGCTGCAGCCACATACATTGCGAAGGACAATCCTTCACTTTCCCCCTACGGACCAACACTCGCCCGTTGCCCCCCACTAGTATGGTGTCTATCAGATCCTCTACATCTTATCTGAGGAGTGCCATCTTTAAAGAGGAACGATTCGACTGGATACACTTGGACAAAATTCCCGTGTGAACTCCAGGGAATTCCAGGAAGGAATAAACAAAGGAGGCCATAAATCAATCTCTTGCTCCGACAAATTTCGATTGGCTGACTACTGGACATCACATTTACAGATATTCTTAGTATCAGCTAAAAGCTTATCCATTCCCTCTGACACACCATTTGCTAAGAGCTGAGAGTCCCCAAAGTACGTTGGGGTACATTCGCAGCCAGGTTTACGTGCCCAGGCCTGTCTCCAAAAACATCCAGAAAGACGTGTACTGACAGAGGCAACGTGAATATAAAGGGGCTGTGGGAGACGAAATGAGCGCACCCCATTTTTGAGGGATTTGGAGTCATACTGCTAGTAAGCAAACACACCAACGAAAACGAAACAAAAGCCGTTGCACTGTTGGCACGTCAGAAACATGGTCTCAGGCGAACTGAACGGGAGGCGTCTGTGAGATGGATAAAATCGAGGTGTTGTCCCATCTGGCCAGCATGAGCCATCAGGTTCCACCTGTGGTCCCCGCCTGCTCTGGCCCGCGGGCCACAGGGTCGGCCCGCTTCACACAGTCCCTCTGTGTGGAGTAGCTCTTCGCTAACAAAGGCTTCGCTTGAGGCCTCTGGTAGTCTGACCTGATGCCGTTCGGCAGAGGCGATGAGCCCACTTTGGGTTTGTCATAAACTCCCTCTGGGCTGCTCAGCCTTTCCGCCTTAACCTGCGGCATCTGATAGGCTCCGTCACCCCGTCCGGTGCCATGACTCCCAGCCGTGAAGGAGGGCGTTTTGCTGAGGACAGTCCCCGGGACACTGTAGCTGGGGTCGGGCAGGAAGCCATCCTTCCGGAAGGTGTGGCGCTCGATGATAGGTGTGGCGTACTCCGGCTCCGGATTGGTCAGCGGCAGGGCGTACTGATTGACTGTGTGCAAGTAGTCATAGTGGGTGACAGCATCGCCGGATTCTTCTTTGACATCGTTGTCCATGGGCCTGAATGTGGAGCCCTTCCGGGTCACGGTGTCCATGCCGATCATCGGGGGTTGCTGGTACTCCACTGAGGAAACACACAAACACCCGCTAATGGCCAACCTTCGCACTTCACTTCCCGTCTTCCCAGCCTAATCGACAGAGCTGCTCAAACACAACCACCTGACTCATGAAGGTCTCAGGAAATGTAAAGGCCCTATTCTCTCCCCAAACTTCTTTTCACACACAAACAATAATCTACATGCATCTGGTTGGGTGAATACAGCGTGGATGCTACAAGGCTCCGGTTCTGTATTCAGAGAACCTGATTCAGATGCCAGCTACACATAACTCAGTAAAGGCTGTTCAAGGTCAAGAATGAGTGTTCTTCTCCCACCAGGCCCTGGCACTTCAGCCAGATTCCGGATCCTTGAGCATGCTTTGCTAACCTCTGCTCCCGGAATGTTTGTCAATAATGGGCCGAGAATGTCGCCCTGGAAAACCGGGATCGAAGCCTCCGTGGTATGCAGACCCCTAGCTGCTTGCAGTTCAGGGTCAAGTGCTGACCGCCCAACCTCAGTGTTCCACAGTGGCATGGTAACAGGTAAACCCGTGTCTCTGACTGACGCTGTGTACAGCAAATAGCCAAGACGGTGTAGGGGAGTGCAATGAGCTGAACATTTACATTTTACTCATTTAGAAGATGCTTTTATCCAAAGCAGCATGCTTTTTTGAGAAAGTAAGGTCAGACAACAGTTGGGGGTTAATAGCCTTGGTGACACCCCCCCTCAAGCGGGGCAGGAGGGGGGCTGACCAGAGACAGGCAGCAGACCACGTCCTCCGTGTGAACATGGTGGCAGGACCGGAGGATGCCTCACCAGCCATGGCGCTGGTGATCAGGTCCAGCTTCTGCATGGGCTCTTTCTCAGGGCTGTAGCTGATGGTGAACTCGCCTGATGGATGCCTCACGAAAGGCTGCTTGATCTGCTTCCAGCAGCCTGGGCACGGAAAAGGAGGGACGGGAACAGGGGACAGTCTGAGGGACCAAGTGACCGACCCAATGTGCTCCAGTAAACAATCCGACCGTGCGGCTGGACGGCTATTACGGCTAATATCATGGCATAACTTGGCTAATAAGTCCCAGAGAGACACAGGAGGGGCAGGCTGAGAAGAACCAGCCGCATTGTGTAGGACTGTATACAAGTCAACAATTATACTTTACCAGAATACAACTCATCCAAGTAATACATCATATATAGTGTTTAAACTAGACTAGTGGTGTCAAGTGGTCTCAAGTGGCCTGTGGCCTCTCCCGTCTACATACTCGCCTGGCCTGTCCCCATGTCTCAGTGCAAGAATCTCCACTAACCTGATTTCTTGTCGTTTGAGGATCCATAGCCTTTGTCTTTGGCCTTTTTCCTGTGAGACATTGATAAATGGTAAATCACTCTTAGATTGAGGGGGGGGTCGATGTGGCCCATTATCCCAGCCCATGCAGGCTTTCTTCAAAACCCCTCCCTCGTTTATCACAGCTCCCCATTCCCGCAGCTGGCACACCTCCTGACAGCGACCTCTGACCCCCCCTCCTCCCGCCTACCCCCATCCCATCCCCAGACAATGGGGGGCAGACAGGGAACACCCAACAGCGACAATCCACGCGTGACCCTGTGGGCATGGGCAGGCATTCTTCTGTCCGGCACAGTGCCCGCGGCCCAACGTGGCCAAGTCCATAGGGAAGTGCACGCCTGCCATTGGAGATAAGAGAAGCTACCGGGCACCTGGCTGGGAGCAGCGAGAGATAACCCTTCACCTAAACTGTGAGGGCACACGGCCATCCTTCCGGCCAGGAGTACAGGGGGCTGGGGGTTTAAAAACGCATGTGGCAAGTTTGATTTAGGATCCATTCAGTCTTTAAACAGCAGTTCATAAAAGAAATAGTGATGTCAGGCTAGACTGACATATATATTAAATTTATTTAGCAGATCCTATTATTCAAAGAGACAAACAACCAGCCTCAGCTAATCCCTGGAACCACCAACCTGCTGATTACAGGTACAGCGTCTAAACCCAGTGAGCCACGCACCGCCCCCTAGTGTCCTTACCTGTGCAGCATTTTACAGGAACAGAAGACGACAAACAGAATGAGCACGCACAGCACTGTGGGCACAGTGATGATGAGCAGCTTGACTGCAGGAACAGAACCAGAGAGCGGGTGAGTCACGTCGGGTCCAGTCGTGGTTGCATGCACATCCCAGCAGACGGGCCACGAGCACGCACCCAGGTCGGCCGCCTCGCCACTCGCCTTGCTTCTGGGCTTCAGGGTTTCTGGTTCAGATGAGTTTGCTGTGGGCAGAAGGGAGGTTCAGAGCATAGGGCACTGGGAGGTGGAGTCAAGTCCATTACTGATCTGCCATATTTGATCAGATGATGAGGCTTGGAGGTAACCGGTAGACCACATTAAGACCACATTAGTAACTTTTGAAGCCCAAAAGAGAAGAATATACACCCTGAGGCTTTCTTGTGCCTCCTCAGTTAAGACAGAAGTCCTATAGTTGCTGATTGTCATTAGTGCCCTGACCTTTGACGTAAGGACAGCCATGTAGTTCCACTGTCATGGCCACCTGCCGGTGCCAACTGAGCGGGATGATACGCAGATACCGGGTCACGAGGGGTGGGTGGAAGGTGTTCCGGGACGGGTGGCCATCTTCATCTCCCTCAAACACCTGGGGGGTTAAGGGCGCAGACAGGAGATCAGGACTCAGAAACATCAGTTTACTGGGAGACACTGTGGCCCGCCGTACTCAGTCCTGAGGAGCTTAAGCAAGCCGGCTTTGTCTCACCACGTCCACGTCCTTGGAGCCGTTGTTCTGTGTGTAGGACTTCCAGCGGTTCCTCTCCCTGTGCTCTACCCTGTACGTTCGGACGAACCAGCCCAACTGTGCAGAACCTGCAGTTATGATCTCTGCAAAAAAAAACAAAATCCATGCAGGATTCGAACAAAATGAACCACACCAAAATCACTCAGAGGATGAGAAACCCTGCCCTCAATGCCTGCGTCTAACACATCGTCTATTTATCGTGTGAGAAACTGAGGAAGAAAAGCTAAGTGGGGGGACTAGCCAGCGTGTGACCGTGTCACATGACGACAGTGTCCTGACAACACGGCCTCCGTCTCCAAGCTCTAATCCCACGCAAAATGATAATCAGACGTCCAAACCGGAAACAAAGCGGATATTCTCCGACTTGCGAGGGCTCGGCCAGGCATGAAATTAACCGGGCTGCTGACTGCATGCATCGCACTCAAAATAAATTCCTCTTCCAGCCAGTTCCTAAATTTAAACGGCCCTTTGTGAGCCTCGATTATGAAATACACAGTCGTTCCATTCTTCCCAGTGCAAAGCCAAACACAGGCATAAGGTTGCAGATATCAAAGCTAGGGCTGGGGGGTGAGGGACGAGATGCTGTGGAGAGCACCCCCCACCCCCAAGCACTATTGTCAGGGTAATTACTCCATTAGAACTGCCTCACATATTCCCATCTTAATTCACACACAGTGCTACCCGACAGATGCGAGTGCACACGTTCGAGAAGCACTAACCCTATTGCCGGTGGCCCGGGAGCGAGGCGTTAAGGAGTTAAAAATGGCCACCCTTCTGCAGCTTACACCGCGGTAAGCCAGGAAAAGCGGTAGCTTCTGTTTAACTGTGTTTAATTGTTAAAATGTGCAGAGCAGCTGGGCGGGCGGGGTCACTTCTTGCTGGCGGTGAGGAGCCGCAGATCCCTGACTAAGCTGAAATGCGGCAGAGGTCCAGCTGAAGCCCAAACTCACCTGTGACTTTCTTCTTCTCGCCGAGGTCCAGATAAAGCCAGTGCTTGGCGCTGCTGTTGTCTGCGAGCCACAGGCTCCCCGCACCCGGCGAGCCCGTTTCCTCGTCCATGCCGGCGATGTTGAGCCAGGAGCTTGCGTTCCTGGACACGGGCTGCAGGTTCATCTGATTCTTGCAGGCTTCGTGGGAAAAGGGGGGGGGGAGATGGAGAAGCATCTTTAACGGAGACAGCCCACCTGCGGGAACTCCTGCCCGCATTATCCATTCCGATCCTCACATTTTTAACGTGACACAGCTGTGCCACAAAAACAAGAGCCAGACACAGGATCGGTGATGCCGGAAAAGCACGGTAACAAAAGATTGTCCTCTGGCATACAGGAACCAGGCCGCACCCGAACCGTACCGCAAAGACACTAGTTACAATGCGGTTCCAGCTCGCTTCGTTTATCCACTGCAGAAGGGTCGGCTCAGTAAAGGTGCTACAGAGTTACAGAAAGTAAAGGTGTTACAGAGAGTGACCATGACGTAACATCAAAGAGGCTCTTACTTACTGTTTACGTCACAGTTTACTATGTGCTAATTTCCACTAGCACGTCAGCGAGAATTGCCGTCTTATGTTAGCATCAAACGCTAGTGGAATTAGCATTCACTTGCGTAAATTTGCATTATCAATCCATTCAGTTCAGCTGTACTATGGAACTTTTTTAAGTTCGAGTTCTGAGTTATCAGGAATGCATCAATACATCATGATGCACAATCCTACTAATAATGAATAACATATAGAATATATGCTTTTTCCTTCAGATAATCTGCACACAGAACACCGATATCATTGCGCATTTCGACTAAATCAGGTGGGGGTGACACCACCAGCTCGGTTCGGTGAGGCTTTCGGCCGGCTGGTAAGCAAGGTCCTGTCAGCCTGGGTACGGCTTGGATCATTTTCAGTGGAAAATCATTTTGTGGAACTCGGGTACAGCTCAGTTCTTGGTGGCAGTGGAAAAGCGCCAGATGATTCAGTTTCAAACCGTGCGTCACCTCGACAGGAAGAACTTGGAAGATCCTGCATTTTGAAAACACAACAACATCATGACTCAACTCTGTGGAAATGCAACTGCTTGTTTTAATTTTCCAGTTCCACTACTTTCAGATCACTGAACAGGCCGATCTCCATATGTAAACAACCTCCGCACTGTGACGAAGTCTGAGGCAGCCAAAGAACGTGCCGTTTAAACGATCTTCACGTTGATGTAAATCTATGACATTATGTCTATAAAAATGTGTCAGCTAGGTCATTTCGAAACCAAAAGCACCCCAGGATTTTGAGCTTTCATAAAGTTTGACCACTAGCATATCATATTTGGCTNTGGCAGCTTTATTCGAGTCCTGAGCAGCTCACACACATTCATGTAAACTAAGACACTGGGAATGAGGGGAACAGGAAAGAGCAAGCAGGTCTACCCGCCCCGTGACCCCCCCCCCAACCCCCTTACACATTTCACAGAAATCAAAGCTCTCCTACCCACCAATCTCTCCACATAGAGCAGCAACAAGCAGCAACTGCACAAAGGTGCAAGTGACACAGCACGTGACAATGACGTCTTTTCAATTCACAATATACAGCCGATGACGATCTGCACAAATATGTAAATATACAGTCAGCGAAGGAGTCGTCCTTTACCTGGGACCAGTCCGAAAACGCAATAAAAAAAAAAGATAAATAAATGATTCATTTTTAAAATTTGAGCACAATTAAAATAACCATCCAAATTAGAAATTATTTTCACTCTTTAAACCGAACGGTTTTAAAAAAAACAAAAAAAACCCCACATTCACGTGGTCCAGTTAACATCCTAAAACATCCCATAATATCCATGTGCAGGACCTCTGATTGGCTAAGCCTGCATGCCATCCTCTTCCCCGAGGCACCTGCGTTGCTGGTGACAAAACGCTCATTGTGGCCACCCCCCCCCCCGCCCTTTTCCTGGGAATTCCCTTGTGCTGGGTCACATGGTCTCCGCTGCAGCCACATACATTGCGAAGGACAATCCTTCACTTTCCCCCTACGGACCAACACTCGCCCGTTGCCCCCCACTAGTATGGTGTCTATCAGATCCTCTACATCTTATCTGAGGAGTGCCATCTTTAAAGAGGAACGAATCGACTGGATACACTTGGACAAAATTCCCGTGTGAACTCCAGGGAATTCCAGGAAGGAATAAACAAAGGAGGCCATAAATCAATCTCTTGCTCCGACAAATTTCGATTGGCTGACTACTGGACATCACATTTACAGATATTCTTAGTATCAGCTAAAAGCTTATCCATTCCCTCTGTCACACCATTTGCTAAGAGCTGAGAGTCCCCAAAGTACGTTGGGGTACATTCGCAGCCAGGTTTACGTGCCCAGGCCTGTCTCCAAAAACATCCAGAAAGACGTGTACTGACAGAGGCAACGTGAATATAAAGGGGCTGTGGGAGACGAAATGAGCGCACCCCATTTTTGAGGGATTTGGAGTCATACTGCTAGTAAGCAAACACACCAACGAAAACGAAACAAAAGCCGTTGCACTGTTGGCACGTCAGAAACATGGTCTCAGGCGAACTGAACGGGAGGCGTCTGTGAGATGGATAAAATCGAGGTGTTGTCCCATCTGGCCAGCATGAGCCATCAGGTTCCACCTGTGGTCCCCGCCTGCTCTGGCCCGCGGGCCACAGGGTCGGCCCGCTTCACACAGTCCCTCTGTGTGGAGTAGCTCTTCGCTAACAAAGGCTTCGCTTGAGGCCTCTGGTAGTCTGACCTGATGCCGTTCGGCAGAGGCGATGAGCCCACTTTGGGTTTGTCATAAACTCCCTCTGGGCTGCTCAGCCTTTCCGCCTTAACCTGCGGCATCTGATAGGCTCCGTCACCCCGTCCGGTGCCATGACTCCCAGCCGTGAAGGAGGGCGTTTTGCTGAGGACAGTCCCCGGGACACTGTAGCTGGGGTCGGGCAGGAAGCCATCCTTCCGGAAGGTGTGGCGCTCGATGATAGGTGTGGCGTACTCCGGCTCCGGATTGGTCAGCGGCAGGGCGTACTGATTGACTGTGTGCAAGTAGTCATAGTGGGTGACAGCATCGCCGGATTCTTCTTTGACATCGTTGTCCATGGGCCTGAATGTGGAGCCCTTCCGGGTCACGGTGTCCATGCCGATCATCGGGGGTTGCTGGTACTCCACTGAGGAAACACACAAACACCCGCTAATGGCCAACCTTCGCACTTCACTTCCCGTCTTCCCAGCCTAATCGACAGAGCTGCTCAAACACAACCACCTGACTCATGAAGGTCTCAGGAAATGTAAAGGCCCTATTCTCTCCCCAAACTTCTTTTCACACACAAACAATACTCTACATGCATCTGGTTGGGTGAATACAGCGTGGATGCTACAAGGCTCCGGTTCTGTATTCAGAGAACCTGATTCAGATGCCAGCTACACATAACTCAGTAAAGGCTGTTCAAGGTCAAGAATGAGTGTTCTTCTCCCACCAGGCCCTGGCACTTCAGCCAGATTCCAGATCCTTGAGCATGCTTTGCTAACCTCTGCTCCCGGAATGTTTGTCAATAATGGGCCGAGAATGTCGCCCTGGAAAACCGGGATCGAAGCCTCCGTGGTATGCAGACCCCTAGCTGCTTGCAGTTCAGGGTCAAGTGCTGACCGCCCAACCTCAGTGTTCCACAGTGGCATGGTAACAGGTAAACCCGTGTCTCTGACTGACGCTGTGTACAGCAAATAGCCAAGACGGTGTAGGGGAGTGCAATGAGCTGAACATTTACATTTTACTCATTTAGAAGATGCTTTTATCCAAAGCAGCATGCTTTTTTGAGAAAGTAAGGTCAGACAACAGTTGGGGGTTAATAGCCTTGGTGACACCCCCCCTCAAGCGGGGCAGGAGGGGGGCTGACCAGAGACAGGCAGCAGACCACGTCCTCCGTGTGAACATGGTGGCAGGACCGGAGGATGCCTCACCAGCCATGGCGCTGGTGATCAGGTCCAGCTTCTGCATGGGCTCTTTCTCAGGGCTGTAGCTGATGGTGAACTCGCCTGATGGATGCCTCACGAAAGGCTGCTTGATCTGCTTCCAGCAGCCTGGGCACGGAAAAGGAGGGACGGGAACAGGGGACAGTCTGAGGGACCAAGTGACCGACCCAATGTGCTCCAGTAAACAATCCGACCGTGCGGCTGGACGGCTATTACGGCTAATATCATGGCATAACTTGGCTAATAAGTCCCAGAGAGACACAGGAGGGGCAGGCTGAGAAGAACCAGCCGCATTGTGTAGGACTGTATACAAGTCAACAATTATACTTTACCAGAATACAACTCATCCAAGTAATACATCATATATAGTGTTTAAACTAGACTAGTGGTGTCAAGTGGTCTCAAGTGGCCTGTGGCCTCTCCCGTCTACATACTCGCCTGGCCTGTCCCCATGTCTCAGTGCAAGAATCTCCACTAACCTGATTTCTTGTCGTTTGAGGATCCATAGCCTTTGTCTTTGGCCTTTTTCCTGTGAGACATTGATAAATGGTAAATCACTCTTAGATTGAGGGGGGGGTCGATGTGGCCCATTATCCCAGCCCATGCAGGCTTTCTTCAAAACCCCTCCCTCGTTTATCACAGCTCCCCATTCCCGCAGCTGGCACACCTCCTGACAGCGACCTCTGACCCCCCCTCCTCCCGCCTACCCCCATCCCATCCCCAGACAATGGGGGGCAGACAGGGAACACCCAACAGCGACAATCCACGCGTGACCCTGTGGGCATGGGCAGGCATTCTTCTGTCCGGCACAGTGCCCGCGGCCCAACGTGGCCAAGTCCATAGGGAAGTGCACGCCTGCCATTGGAGATAAGAGAAGCTACCGGGCACCTGGCTGGGAGCAGCGAGAGATAACCCTTCACCTAAACTGTGAGGGCACACGGCCATCCTTCCGGCCAGGAGTACAGGGGGCTGGGGGTTTAAAAACGCATGTGGCAAGTTTGATTTAGGATCCATTCAGTCTTTAAACAGCAGTTCATAAAAGAAATAGTGATGTCAGGCTAGACTGACATATATATTAAATTTATTTAGCAGATCCTATTATTCAAAGAGACAAACAACCAGCCTCAGCTAATCCCTGGAACCACCAACCTGCTGATTACAGGTACAGCGTCTAAACCCAGTGAGCCACGCACCGCCCCCTAGTGTCCTTACCTGTGCAGCATTTTACAGGAACAGAAGACGACAAACAGAATGAGCACGCACAGCACTGTGGGCACAGTGATGATGAGCAGCTTGACTGCAGGAACAGAACCAGAGAGCGGGTGAGTCACGTCGGGTCCAGTCGTGGTTGCATGCACATCCCAGCAGACGGGCCACGAGCACGCACCCAGGTCGGCCGCCTCGCCACTCGCCTTGCTTCTGGGCTTCAGGGTTTCTGGTTCAGATGAGTTTGCTGTGGGCAGAAGGGAGGTTCAGAGCATAGGGCACTGGGAGGTGGAGTCAAGTCCATTACTGATCTGCCATATTTGATCAGATGATGAGGCTTGGAGGTAACCGGTAGACCACATTAAGACCACATTAGTAACTTTTGAAGCCCAAAAGAGAAGAATATACACCCTGAGGCTTTCTTGTGCCTCCTCAGTTAAGACAGAAGTCCTATAGTTGCTGATTGTCATTAGTGCCCTGACCTTTGACGTAAGGACAGCCATGTAGTTCCACTGTCATGGCCACCTGCCGGTGCCAACTGAGCGGGATGATACGCAGATACCGGGTCACGAGGGGTGGGTGGAAGGTGTTCCGGGACGGGTGGCCATCTTCATCTCCCTCAAACACCTGGGGGGTTAAGGGCGCAGACAGGAGATCAGGACTCAGAAACATCAGTTTACTGGGAGACACTGTGGCCCGCCGTACTCAGTCCTGAGGAGCTTAAGCAAGCCGGCTTTGTCTCACCACGTCCACGTCCTTGGAGCCGTTGTTCTGTGTGTAGGACTTCCAGCGGTTCCTCTCCCTGTGCTCTACCCTGTACGTTCGGACGAACCAGCCCAACTGTGCAGAACCTGCAGTTATGATCTCTGCAAAAAAAAACAAAATCCATGCAGGATTCGAACAAAATGAACCACACCAAAATCACTCAGAGGATGAGAAACCCTGCCCTCAATGCCTGCGTCTAACACATCGTCTATTTATCGTGTGAGAAACTGAGGAAGAAAAGCTAAGTGGGGGGACTAGCCAGCGTGTGACCGTGTCACATGACGACAGTGTCCTGACAACACGGCCTCCGTCTCCAAGCTCTAATCCCACGCAAAATGATAATCAGACGTCCAAACCGGAAACAAAGCGGATATTCTCCGACTTGCGAGGGCTCGGCCAGGCATGAAATTAACCGGGCTGCTGACTGCATGCATCGCACTCAAAATAAATTCCTCTTCCAGCCAGTTCCTAAATTTAAACGGCCCTTTGTGAGCCTCGATTATGAAATACACAGTCGTTCCATTCTTCCCAGTGCAAAGCCAAACACAGGCATAAGGTTGCAGATATCAAAGCTAGGGCTGGGGGGTGAGGGACGAGATGCTGTGGAGAGCACCCCCCACCCCCAAGCACTATTGTCAGGGTAATTACTCCATTAGAACTGCCTCACATATTCCCATCTTAATTCACACACAGTGCTACCCGACAGATGCGAGTGCACACGTTCGAGAAGCACTAACCCTATTGCCGGTGGCCCGGGAGCGAGGCGTTAAGGAGTTAAAAATGGCCACCCTTCTGCAGCTTACACCGCGGTAAGCCAGGAAAAGCGGTAGCTTCTGTTTAACTGTGTTTAATTGTTAAAATGTGCAGAGCAGCTGGGCGGGCGGGGTCACTTCTTGCTGGCGGTGAGGAGCCGCAGATCCCTGACTAAGCTGAAATGCGGCAGAGGTCCAGCTGAAGCCCAAACTCACCTGTGACTTTCTTCTTCTCGCCGAGGTCCAGATAAAGCCAGTGCTTGGCGCTGCTGTTGTCTGCGAGCCACAGGCTCCCCGCACCCGGCGAGCCCGTTTCCTCGTCCATGCCGGCGATGTTGAGCCAGGAGCTTGCGTTCCTGGACACGGGCTGCAGGTTCATCTGATTCTTGCAGGCTTCGTGGGAAAAGGGGGGGGGGAGATGGAGAAGCATCTTTAACGGAGACAGCCCACCTGCGGGAACTCCTGCCCGCATTATCCATTCCGATCCTCACATTTTTAACGTGACACAGCTGTGCCACAAAAACAAGAGCCAGACACAGGATCGGTGATGCCGGAAAAGCACGGTAACAAAAGATTGTCCTCTGGCATACAGGAACCAGGCCGCACCCGAACCGTACCGCAAAGACACTAGTTACAATGCGGTTCCAGCTCGCTTCGTTTATCCACTGCAGAAGGGTCGGCTCAGTAAAGGTGCTACAGAGTTACAGAAAGTAAAGGTGTTACAGAGAGTGACCATGACGTAACATCAAAGAGGCTCTTACTTACTGTTTACGTCACAGTTTACTATGTGCTAATTTCCACTAGCACGTCAGCGAGAATTGCCGTCTTATGTTAGCATCAAACGCTAGTGGAATTAGCATTCACTTGCGTAAATTTGCATTATCAATCCATTCAGTTCAGCTGTACTATGGAACTTTTTTAAGTTCGAGTTCTGAGTTATCAGGAATGCATCAATACATCATGATGCACAATCCTACTAATAATGAATAACATATAGAATATATGCTTTTTCCTTCAGATAATCTGCACACAGAACACCGATATCATTGCGCATTTCGACTAAATCAGGTGGGGGTGACACCACCAGCTCGGTTCGGTGAGGCTTTCGGCCGGCTGGTAAGCAAGGTCCTGTCAGCCTGGGTACGGCTTGGATCATTTTCAGTGGAAAATCATTTTGTGGAACTCGGGTACAGCTCAGTTCTTGGTGGCAGTGGAAAAGCGCCAGATGATTCAGTTTCAAACCGTGCGTCACCTCGACAGGAAGAACTTGGAAGATCCTGCATTTTGAAAACACAACAACATCATGACTCAACTCTGTGGAAATGCAACTGCTTGTTTTAATTTTCCAGTTCCACTACTTTCAGATCACTGAACAGGCCGATCTCCATATGTAAACAACCTCCGCACTGTGACGAAGTCTGAGGCAGCCAAAGAACGTGCCGTTTAAACGATCTTCACGTTGATGTAAATCTATGACATTATGTCTATAAAAATGTGTCAGCTTGGTCATTTCGCAACCAAAAGCACCCCAGGATTTTGAGCTTTCATAAAGTTTGACCACTAGCATATCATATTTGGCTGATCAATACCTCACTGTGTCATTTAATTAATTCATTCATTAATTGAGCTGGTGGTCAAATTTAACATATATACAGAATGGCTATGGTGTCCCCAAAGAGGGGTTTGGGAACTGAAGCTCTTAACCATCCAACAAGACATCAGTAACTTGTTCATTTTTATTGCATTACTGTTAATTTCCATATGTTCTAATATTAAATTGTATTTTTTCCTCATCTGCCACATAAACAGCCTTAAACATTATCTTTGCCCAAGATTCTTGCCCTACATTTCCTACAGCAAAACCAAGAGGAGAGCAAAAAGTGAACATCGACCCACGGCTGTGCCAAGGTCCTAAAGTTTGGCAACTGCTCATTTCCTGAGATGCACTTCCTGCTAGACCCTAAATACAGCTGAACAGTCGTTTGACCCCCCGACCAGAACCATAAGGCACAGCAAAGTCTGCAGACCTGGCCATGACAGGAACCATCTTGTCTATATCGTTATTGTGCTTCTACTTCTCGACATCACTCTATTAACACAATTTCTAGTCTCCCCTTCTCCTTTCACCAGTGATTCCCAATCCAGTGCTCGGGGACCCACAGCCAGTCCACATTTTTGCTCCCTCCCAGCCAGTCCACATTTTTGCTCCCTCCCAGCCAGTCCACATTTTTGCTCCCTCCNCAGCCAGTCCACATTTTTGCTCCCTCCCAGCCAGTCCACATTTTTGCTCCCTCCCAGCCAGTCCACATTTTTGCTCCCTCCTAGCTCCTGGTAGGAGCAAAAACATGGAATGCCTGTGGGTCCCCAAGGACTGCATTGGGAAACACTGCCTTAAACTAAAGGGTATCCAGACTGACACACAACGACACAGCACAGCCAATATGACACATAAGGGGGCCAAAAATATTTAAAACAAGCGGGACTGAGCCTTGCCTGCGAGGTGCAGTCACACCTTGGCAGGCCTGAACTGGCTCCAGCGCTGGGCGTATAAATCTGCATGTCATTAGGATCATCTGTCCGTAGCATGACAAACCACAGGAGAAAAGCAGCCACCTCTCTATGAAGGGAAACTTTCCAGACCCGACGCAGGCCTGCAAAATCAAGCCATGTGCGTCTGGTACATTCCTGCACCACATCAAAACGAACCTATTTTTAAATGCTGTTTTCTTTTTAGGTGTGCGCTGCACTACATACACAGGGAGGTTACACACTAGACCTCCCCTAAGAAAAATAACTCAAAAATACCTATTTAAAACTACTTCAGACTATTTAAGCTTTGCAATAAAAAGGCATAAATCCAGTGCTTTAAAGCACAAAAGGCTCCAGTGTATTCTCCCCTACCTATATAATACAGTGGTGCTCCTGAGCAACCAATCAGACTTCAGCACACACCTATATTCTGGATCTCTTCCCAGAAGACTTTGGGAATCACACAGCACCTGCCTGGACAGGACAGGCTGAAATACAGTGACAGGTAACTAATGTCATCCAAAGGGAGATAAAGGCGAGATGCCCCGTGCCTAGAAGATACCGGAGACAAACTTTGATCGGCAAATAAGCCGCCAGGAATACATCCACTGAACCCCTTGAAAGATAATATCTGGACGCACCCTTTGCCTGTTTAAGGAAACCGGTGGCACGAAAGCCCACGGAAACGTCCCCAACCTGGTAATGAACCCTAAATCAGTGCATGAAAATAAACACACACACACCACACACACACACACACACACACACACACACACTACTAGGCAAAAATTTTTGCACACACTGAAATTTTCTACATTTGCATGTCACTCAACATTTACTAAAAATACACTCAGTATTCTTTGCCAACAAATAAATTTACAGTATGTTCGCCATGAGTACCTTTATTAGCAAGAAAATGTCATATCTTTGATTCATCAAAGTAACCTCCTCTAGCAGTTATAACAGCAGAGAAAATTCGAGGCATTCTTTCTACACAGGACATTGAGCAGTGCTCTGTTTCATGGGAAAGGACAGCCTAGAATTGACTCTGCCATCACCACACAACCAGTTAATAGGATGTCAGACATGCAATGTTATATAGTCTTTCCATGTTATCAAGGAAGCTTGTTTTATTTGACTTATATGTTCATTTATAGTTATTCACTCAATTTTCAATGCTTAAAAAGAAGAACAAATTAGCAGTTTAAGAAATAAATGGAAAACTGGTTAAAAACCTGTGCTGTGCAAAAACTTTTGACTTGCAGTGTATACAGGTAAACAAAAGGTGCCACAGAGACGCCACAGACACAACAACGGGGTGCGAAAACAGGAAAGAAAATGCTTACCGCTGCTGTTGAACGTGAAGAGCGTATCCGACAAAGAGCCACTGTAAAGAGAGGAGCAAATCAATCAGCACCGGGCTATTAGACACAATGATGGCAATTACAGTGATGAATTGCTGGGGGAGCACCCTGGGTCCTTAAAGGAACCCCCCCCCCATCCCTTTTAATGAGCCACCCACAGACCAGCCAGTTCCTGGTGGCACCGACCCCCCACCGCCATTCAGCGCCCCCATGTTTTCACTTGCGGCCGCAGCATAGGAGTCGTAAAGAGAATCATAATCGCCAATCAAAGGGAATCCAGCACGGCACTGATTACAAGGAGAGGCACCTCGGGCAGCCGTCAGCCAAACGCCGGGCGTTTTCAGGAGCTTCAGCTCCCAGATGTTCACCCCATAAGGAGGACGCAACCTTAACCATGGCCGTTGAGAACCTGGAGGCAAATCGGCACATAAAAGCCGGCACACGTCTCACGAAACACTGAAGGTGCTGTTCACAGCTGTCAGGTGCGTAAAGCGGATGTGAGGGAACAATGAATTATGGGGTGTTGGTGTGACATGATGCTGAATGGACACTTGGCGATTCCTGCCCTAATCTCTTTGTTCTTGATTTTGCGGCAGTCGGCCAAGGTAACGGAGGCATCTCTCAGACCGATAGCGCCCCAAATGTGTTCAGCCGCTGGGATTTTATTTAGCTTAGCGGATATCCTGCTCTTAAAACAGGCCCTACAACTTCCATCCCTGCTTAATGTAATCTTCTGATTGCCCATACAGTGTGTACGCACTGAACTAAAAATACTAGAATCTGGGGGCATAACATAATTAGCCGATACAAATCTTTAACTACCATGATTTACCAGAAACACAGGCTTCCAGCTGGGGCTAAAGCCAGGCTGACTTGCCTGAACAAAACTTTGCTGCCTAACAGCAAGTCTGCAAGTAGCTATCATAGGACAGGCAGATATAAATCACATATAGCTGCAGAAATTTCACACCCGCCTTAACATGAAAGGTTAAAGAGACGTTCAAAAGAAGAATCTAGAGGAAAACCCGAGCTATAGAAGGAAATTAAAATGCATTACCCTTTTCATTTATCAAAGGGTTATTCATGCTCTGACAAAATGCCCTCTGGAATCACGTTTGCAGGTCCCCGTGGGACAAGTGTCCATGTTCTTTAATTGAATGTTGCAGCATGTTCATTTTTCCAACTGGACGCCAAGCCGACACATTAAACAGGCCCACATTTGTCATTAAGCTTCCTTCAGGGACAAAAGACCTTGAGCTAGGTCAACTCAAGCAGAGGCAGAGCCAATGTAAAGGACAGCGGGTGGCACTGGCCCTCCTGAAATCTGATTGGCCTGATAGATGTCCTCCCCTAATTTCATTGGCTGAGTGATATCAATTATAAAATGCAGAACACCAGAATTCCCAAACGCACATATGCGGCACAACTATAATTTTGATACTTCCCGAAAATTGCATGAATGTACTCAGATAACGTTTGCTATATTTGTAGGCTAGGTGGCTTCAACTTTTCTGGGCAAACACAGGTATAAGACATATCCGTAATTAATTTGTAATAAGAATGTTTGTAATGTATGCAATTATTAGAAAGTATTTGACTGTTCTTCACATATTACCATTTTAAAGTTGGCGAAGTATCACTACCCCCCCAAAAATCTGAAGCAGCCCCTGCTCTGAAGGCTGAGACAACTGCCAGTCACCATTCTGGATGTTTGGGGGGGGGGGGGGGTTCTTAGGGTATGCAATGAATGTCACAGAGGCACAGCCACACTTTGCCTGCTGGATATCTCCACAGCACACAAGGCCAGACCAGCACTCAAAGCGTACAAAGTACCCACAGAGGACAGGACCAATTCTGACACTTGGGCTTCTTGAGCATGTTTAGCAACCGACGGTCAATAAGCCAGATCTTGACCTCTAACTTGCAAAACACTGGAGCAGAACCAGACATGCTGTGAAATCTGGAGCAGAAGTTCAAAACTTCTCATGATCCCAGCTAATCATAAATTTTCGGGGTGAGGCTGGCTGTCTAACAGTTGGCGCTCTGTGAATGTCGCTGTTTGCGTCTCTCACTGCTTCAGTAATTAACTATAAAGGGTCATTCCCATTTTTGTTGAACAGGATTGTTCGGACAGGTGCTTCCTCTCTCTGGACACCAACGTTCTTGGTCACAGAAGCATTCAAGCGGAAGTCACGTGTGAACAATCAGTGAGGTCACTATAGCCCTGACTTTCCTATCCAAGTCCAATAGACTGGTGTACTTTGCTCAATGCGCATCCAAACACCCCAGCAAATGGATGGTCTCCCTCTGGACTGATCACACAAACGACCAACCGGAAGTCATGTCTGAAAGATCAGTGAGGCCACCTGACATTACTATATAGTACTCACGCTTTGGACTGGATTCCATTGGCTCTGGTACCAGGGTAGTGACTCAAACCCATCCTCGCCTCCACGTAGATCTGCCCTCCCAGCTCGTTCGTGATGACCCCAGCGTGGATAGCAGATTTGCACAGGACTGACGTCTGAAAGGAGAGTGGTCAGACCATTACAGGCAGACACAAGCTCAGAAAATATCAGAAGCAGAAATGTCCAGCAAGGGTTAAAGGGTTACTTTAAGTTCACCAGTGCCTTTAAAGGCAATCAATACTGCGGCCACACACCTTCAGGGGTTTGTGGGTTTGATCCATAATCGTGGGAAGACAGGGCAGTGTTTCCCAATCTGGTCCCCGGGGACCCACAGACAGTCCATGTTTTTGCTCCCTCCCAGCTTCTAGTATTGAGTTTGGAGGGAGCAAAAATGTAGACTGTCTGGCAGGGAGATCGAAGGGAGAAAAAATGTGGACCGTCCATGGGTTCCTGAGAACCGGATTTGGAAACACTAGCTAGGGGTGCTGCCCCTAGGACCCCTGCTTCCAGCACTCAGGGTGGTGCTGAGCTGCCCCTAGGACCCCTGCTTCCAGCACTCAGGGTGGTGCTGAGCTGCCCCAAGGACCCCTGCTTCCAGCACTCAGGGTGGTGCTGAGCTGCCCCTAGGACCCCTGCTTCCAGCACTCAGAGGGTGGTTAGCGTTTCTGTGCCTGGGATCAGATCATCTGTGGTTTATGCCTTGGCAGAAGAGTCGCATGTCCGAGGGCCCTTGAGCAAGGCCCTTAACCCCCCTAGGGCCGCTGCACGTTGGCTGACCTTGCGCTGGGACCCCCAAGCTATGGAGAGCACGATGGGGGCGGCGAAGGGAAGGATTCCAATGTACTTGTACAAATGGCAAATAAAGGATTTATCATTTAATCACTGCAGTTTGATCCCTGACCCCCATCTTTGTGTGAGTTCTCAGTCCAAGAACATGTGGCTTGGTGAAACGGTGTCTCTGAACAGCCCCTAGTGCCTCCTGAGATTCCTGGGACTGACTCCAACCCCCCCCCCTTCCCCTCCCTCCATGACCCTGTACTGAACAAGCAGTTACAGAAAGTGAATGAACTGCAAAAATCAGTCAGTCTGCCTCCAGTCCCAAGCTCCTAATCACACAGTGATAAACAACACACCTAAGTAAAATGCGTCAATAGCTGAGTAAAAGTACAGCGCTACAATGTCAGTGTGGCCCCTTCCTGTTCGCAAACCCAAGCACTCATTTAACAATAAAAAAGCCGCTACTTATTTTAAGCAAATGCAAACCGCCCATTCTCACAAAAGGGTAAATTAAAACTAGTTGCAGCTGAATGGAATATGAACACATCGGCAAGTATAATAAGAACCATTTCTCAATCCTGCGAGTGCCTTCAAAATTATCACCCATTTAATTGCTACTTCCTCTGTACCTGACACTAAAGTCTTAAAAAAAAACCACGACGACGTGTGCTTTTTCTCAGCTGCTGATTAGCAGGTAAATACCTCTCTCTCTCATTATATAATGTACATTCCTAGGGTGATATGCAATTAGACAGCAACGGGACATTAACAGGAAGTCACCAGAAAGGTCACGCACAAACAGTCCTCGGTCACACGCCTCTCCATGTGAAGGGCCACGGAGCCGGCCCGCCTTGCTGGGGCCAGGGGCGCACGGCGAAATGACTTTCCATTGTGGAGGGAAATCTGATGACTTTTCGCAGGCTGGTTAGCAGATGACGCCGTGGCAAATCCCTACCCTCCCTCAATGCCTGAGGGCTGCAGCTCATGCACCGCAGGTGACAGTGCCCCCTTCCACTTCCAGCGGGGAAGCCCCAGCCAGCCCCAGTTTGGATCCCAACTCCGAATTAGCCAAGAGGGTTTGCAGATTGCGGTAAACGAGAAACGGAAAGTGGCAGCGGGGCCTGTTTGCTGTGTACATCAGAGTCAGGGCTTACAGGATAATTACAAGCCTGGTGTGGATTACAGGGGGAATCCATGCTGCTCTTAAACTGGGCCATTTTACTCCTAATTCTCCTTCGGGGAGGAAATACCTTCACAGACCATGCTTTCAGTCCTTAAATTAATTAAACAATTAGCCCACAGACACTGGCACAGCTGTTGTTACCCGGCAACCAAATCTTTCATTAAAACAGACTCCAGTAAGTCATCGACTCAAACCAATTGGCTAAGCTAGAAGATGTTTCCATTTTTCCGAACGTTTCCACTCTAAAATGTTTTGCCACTGACAAAACAGCTTATTAACTGCAACACATTTGTAAAGAACCGTATTTAACATAGATAAGTGAAAGGCACACTCAAGCAGAATTGGTTTAATGGTAACAGTGGCCCGGTAGTGTAATCTCACACGCTACTGAAGGTTAACGACACCTTCAAGTTTTCTACAGCGGAAACGCAAAGTCAAGGGCAGCTCCGACCCTTTGACTCTGTCAAAATGAGGGGGTCTGGTGACCAACCAATCGGTGGCATCGTCTAGGGGTGAGGTCAAAGGTCACAAATTTAAGAGATGGATATTGGTCACCTGAGAGTGTGACACGTTCAGCGCGGTGTTTGGGCGAACCTCTGCCCTGTGGCAGACCTGCAGGTCGGACCTTCCAGGGACGGCGAGTCCGATTTGACCTGCTGTTGCACATCTCCAGAAGACAGCTCTCGTCTCAGAAAGCGCACCCACGCATAGCAGATCAGCACAGATACTAACCCCCCCGCCACTGTCAGTGGTAGTCGGTAGAACGCCTTGTGTGGTGGAACCTGTTTGGCCAGTGTACTCCAGATGGGCGTGGGGGCGCTTGGGGGGGCACCCATCTCCGAGGGGGAGAGGAATGTGTCAGGCTGCCTGGGCATATGTGGAGATCAAGTCTCAGCGGCCAAGGAACTGGATGTGTAAGGAGTGAAAGGGAAACGGGGAAGGGCGGGGCTCTTACATCACTGAGACAAAAAACCACCAACTATATAATAGAAGGGCAAGAGGTTTCACTTTCCCGGGAAGATGACTGCTCAGAAAGAACGACAAAAGGATGACAGTCACGGAGGCTGGGGTGGGGGACTACTCACATGTCGGTATCCCTGGGAAATGTCCCCGGAGACGTCCCCAGGCTCAGCCTTGCATCCTGCTGGACAGTACTTCCTGTGGGACAGGCAGACAGAACAACAACCTCAATGCACAGCTCGCCGTGAGATCCTGCCAGAAATGCATGCGGCACCCAGCACATGTCAGGGATCCCGCTTAAGCTGCCAATATCCCTCACTTACTACATGTTAGAGCCACTCATAACGAAGGACAACACATCCAGGAGGAGTGGAAAGACGGCTTAATGGCCTGTTTTTCTGGAAAAAAGGGCCAAATGGCAACAGAAGCCAAGACACAACCATGTGCTGGCAACTGCTGAAACTCACAGTCTCCCTAAAGCCAGGAGCATCACCACAGCAACACACAGACACACAGACTCACAGACACACAGACACACAGACACACAGACACACACACAGAAATTTAACATTAGCTTATCCAAATTAACACAATACGAGTTATTTATTAGAAAAAAATGTTTTTTTTTTTTTTTTTTAGAGATCGGCTCAACAAATACATGGGTATATCGGATGGTTACTGCAAATACTGGGGTGACATACTGGGGTAGGAGCAGTTTTGAAATGGCTAAGCTGACGCACTTCAACCGACATAAAATCATAGTTTTACACAAACATGAAGATCATTTAAACATCATTTTCTTTGTTTACTTTGGCTCAGTGCTGTATACCCAGACATGGCCGAATCACACCCACACAAGCTCACCTGTACTTCAAAGTAGGGAATCGGCTGCCCGTGTCCAAGCATGTGATCAGATCTGAGGAGATATGAGGGCAGACAATGTAGCGCAAAAAAAAAAAATGTCACATCTGAAAATAGGGAGAGAGGAAGCCGGTGCTGGAGCAGCAGCAGAAAGCACCAAAACAGGACGAGCGGCCCACTTCCTGTCCTCTGCCTTCCTTCTCTGCATTTCACATTAACAGAACATGTGGACGGAGTCACATGGACTCAATACGCTAATAGGGGTTCACCAGTCACCTCCACGTGGCCAACGACAGGCGCACAATCACCATAACCCAAGACGAAGAAGCTCCATCTTTCATGGTAACTGGGGAGAACAGTGACGGCACTGGGTATGGCTTGACCCAGGCCTGCAGCTCGGATTGGAGAGTCATGCCTATCTGATAGAGCACGACTCTGAGCTGCGTCCCAAGAACAACACAACAAAACTCAAGACGAATTCAAAGTAGTGGAAGACTTTGAATGCAGGGAATGAAACACCGGCTCGGTTATTTGGGTGCTGGGGCCCACACTGATTTGGAGACCCAACACCGAGACGTGGAGGGGTAGAGGCTCACCTTCGTGTTCCACCGCGGCGTAGGACAGGAGGAATCCCCGACCGGAGATGTGCGTGCCGCTCCGGAACTGGACGGTAACCTCGGTGGAGTTGGCATACAGCTTCGAGGGCGGGGATTTGGGTTGGCCGCAGAAGGTGTCGTACACTGAAATAAAGGGGAGCCCGGAAGAGTTCCGGCACAGCGCGTCTACGTCAACGCATTATTCACAAAACCAAAGAGAACCAGGCCGGAACCCCTCAGGAGTCTGCAGCCATGCCGCCGTTCAGGTCTTACGCGCCCTTCTGACACATTTCCATGTCATCATCCTTGGATGCCGGAAA